ACCATGGATAACGGTTCTCAATCGTTACCCGACTCCATTGTCTATAATCAATGGATAGTCTTAAAGCCCATTTTCTTCCTTACCAACGAACTGGGGCTCCCCCAAAGCGTTGTACTAGGTTGAATAAAATTTTTATCAACCAATTCTTTCAACTGAATTTCCAATTCCCTTAACTCATCATGAACCAATCTTTAACATAAATTTATACCTGGCAACAAATCAATAGTGAACCTCATATCTCTGCTGAAGGCAATCCAGGTATACTTTCAGGGAAGACATCAAGAAAATCTAACCCTTTCAACATTATTCACACTACTCCAAACAACATCATTTAGCACCACATGAGCTAAGTATTTTTGACAGCCTTTCGAAAACAATCTCTTTGCTCTCACAGCATAAATAACAGCCTGACTCAATCCATTTTGCATACTTACAAAAGTAATCTCTGTTCATCCAGATCGATGGAAAATACTGGTTTCCCGTAACATTCCGTCTTGTCACAATTATAACCAACCAATCTAATGGAACAAAATTAACTGATACAATATATATTCTATTATTATTAAGCATTCCAAATAAGTACAAAATAATCTACCGGTTTACTTACTTAACGAATCCACGAATGAGTTATTAATATTACGGTCTGCAGCCCGCAATACTGATAAATCATCGTTGTCTCGATAAGTAGGCAACCACTCACAAAGATATAACATTACTATTTTGTCACTCAATGCAAAATACATACACTCGTCTCAACTACATTTATTTACTACTCTCTAGGTAATAACATACATAATAAGAAATATATCAGCCGAAGTCAACTAGAATGATCAATACGGCTGATTCAACTCTTATCTCAATAATACGTCGGCCGGATCCACTCCGCGTGGTCAGTACGGCCGAACCTATAACTCACCAATTTCTCATGTGTCAGTCGAATCCATTTCTCATGGTCTGTACGGCTGAACATATAACTCATCAAATCTCTCTTACTCACGGTCAATCCGACCAAACTACTAAGTCCATAACTCTGCTGAATCGACACTATGATATCATGGAAAATTGTTGAGTACAACTAATTCTAGGGGCAATTCACAATTCTGCGTCCCCTCTATTCACATAAACACATTCCTTGATTTCACATTTCTCAAAGTGTTAATTTTGTACCTGCTGCACAAAGTACATTTCCTTTACTCGAGACACCTTGTCTCAAATATCTGGGATTACTAGTATATCCATCACTTTTACTCTGACCAGCGACATTAAAACCTCAGCTGGAAGAATTAACTCTAGCTTCACTTCTTTCGAAGCTCTGAATCTTTCTATATCCTTGATAAGACGAATCATTAACTTTATCGTCTTCTTTTAATTCCCATTCATTTCTTATTCTTCTTTATTCTCGTTGATCATGTTCTCAGAGTCCTCAAGACTCAACAGCATCTCGTATATTCCTGGTAAGAAGTATAATGGATAGTGGTCACCCAAAATACCACTTCCCTTTTTTTGCCACCCAGCTTAAAACAACATAACACCTCCACCAATAACAACCATATCTGGATGGAACGAGGCAAGTCTGAAAACTTTCTATAATATCCCCTCGATCATCACCTTCCTTGTCTCATATTTGTAAACTCTTGTTTACTACCATCGATAAATGCCGGAGGATAAACTTTTTCCCTTAAACAAGTCCTTAAACAATTTTAAAATCGGGCTGTTCCTCCGGTGACAACACATCAATACTCCTGTTTTCCACCAGGATACAAAATTCATACCCAAAACCAGGTAGTCGTCTCGACCCCCTGTCAGAAGGAAGATTCCTTTGACTTGCATATTCCGAAACATCTTTTCCAAATGGTTAAACCGTTACTTCGCTCCCTCAGGTTCATCATTTCATAAGGTGATTCAAATTCGACTTATAATCCGTCTTAAAATGTCCCTTTTTATAATAGACTGAATCACCATAATAATAGTTTTCCCTAAACCGCTATATTAGGGAGACTAAATTCCTCCAACTAAGTGGCTTACTACGAGGCGGTGTAGTTTCTGACAGAATTCACTAGAACTTCTCAAGATGTCCCAAGATTGCAACCATGCTCTGATACCAACTGACACACCCCGTCCCGAAGGAGGGTATGCTGGCCGTCACGTGAGAGTGACGTAACCATTTGCACAGTACGGAAGCTTTAAGATACAATTTAAATTGATACACCCGAAGGTGAGTCCTAATTTTGTCCAATCTGTCAGAACACCGTCGAATTCCTCGTAGTCACCACACCTTTTTGTGATTCCCTGAACCTGGAGGGGCGCAAAACCAAAATTGAGTGGGTCAGTAAAACAATTCTCTTTTCCAAATCCAAACATTTCTCAAAACGTTGTAACCCCTCTCCGTAAAACCTGTATATACTTTCCCAGAAATGTAAAATATAAAATATACATATATATTCTCAAAACTTCATTTTACTATCTCAACATTATCTTTTATCAATCATGCCATGCCATGTCATCTCAACATTTCTCATATTAATTATGCCATGCCACATCATTTCAACAGTAATAAGGTATGAATGCATCAACATAATCATATCAGGTGCAAGAAAGTAATCAACCGTAGGCCCTCTAATAGCCCTATACGGTTGAACCTAGAGCTCAAAATCTATCATTATCACTCTACCGGAGTCACCTCTGTGACCCGTCCGGCCTTCTGCACACAAGTTACGCTCTAGTGCTTCTCATAAATCATCTGTGCACATAATCTAAGGTCACCCACCAGTCGGAATCTCACTAACACTCTCGCGACTGGCCTGTCGTACCCACTCCGCGTGGACTGTACGACTAGCATCTACTTGGATCCAAGGCGAGCGTGCGATGCGGTGAATACTATAAGCACTAAACCATGGTGCAGGATTTGAGCTCAATATATATCATCATCATCATAACAGTAATTAAATACTCATCTGTGCGTCCACCGCACCATTTCATACATATGCATCATAAATCAATTCTTACCTGTGCGTCCACCGCACCAATTCATACATATGCATCATAAATCAATTCTTACCTGTGCGTCCACCGCACCAATTCATACATATGCATCATATATTAATTCATGCATGGCATTTCAACTCACATTTCTATATACTTTTCATATCAATTCTATGCATGGTATTTCACTTCCCGTTTTTCCACATAACTCATATGCATTTCATTTTAAACATATTTTCATTTTCAATTCAATTTCTGGGAAACGTCAAGTATATATATATATACGGAAAATAAAACTGCCCACTCACCTGGAGTTCGCCCTACAACTCCCTAGCACAATACGCCAAGGCGTCATGACGATCGGCGCCTAAAACAATAATCAATTCCAACCTCAGAATTCATATCGATAGAATATATAACTTATATAAAATACGTCACTACGTAGATTGATCCGGAAGATCCACCCCTCAGATTTTAAATCCATAACTTCCAGAGGTCCACATTATACCTCTAGGACAACATCCTAAAATTTCATTACCATCCAACGGTCGGATCTCCGTCAATTCACATTTTCACCTAAATGTGAAAATTATAAAACGTTATTTGAACACCTAACCAACAATCCTCAATAACTTTCTCATACGGTGTTCAATTTAGGTATATGAATATACCACAGTGATCTACTCGACGTCACGGACGTCGACATATTTTTAAAATAATTTTGTACTGTAGAACGCGCCCCCACGCGCCAAGGAAGGCACGGACCTACGCGCCCCCACGCGCACCTTCTTCTTCCTTGGGTCGCCGGACTGGTTTTTCCGGCGGCCGTTTTTCAAATTTCCATAACTTTGTCATTTCTCAACGAAATCAAGTGATTAAAAAACGAAAGTTGTAGCCCTTGAAGAGACAAAGAGAATGGTACCTTGCACAACACCTAGTTCGCCGTGGTTTGGCCGGAAACTGCCTCGAAAGCCTCGGAGGTCGCCGGAAACTGGGTATTTTTCAAATGAGTATAACTTCTTAAATACTCAACGAAATTGAGTGAAACAAAAAGGAAAGTTGTAGTACTTGACGAGACGAAGAGATTGATACCTACCTCAACTCCTAACTCTCCGGGGATTCGCCGGAAAACGCCTCGAAAGCTCCGGCCAAACTTTGAACTTGTCGATCTCCGTGTTCTTACGTCCAAAAACTTCCAACGAAGCACTCCGAGCTTCCTTGGGACCTTACTAAACTCGCTGTGATCTTGTTTTAGCCTAAAACGTAACCAATTCAAAGCTCATGAACAGTGTCATCTCACGGCAACTTTAGAACTAGGGTTTTCGAAGTGAAACTCACCTGAAATTGGTATCCCCGTGCTCGTGAAGTCCCCAGGATCACGATGGTGGTCTTAAATGGAACGTTGGTACAAGATTGTGGTGGTTCTTGGTGGTTGCCGTGAGTTCGAGAGTAAGAGAGAGAATGAGAGAGTTTTCAGAAAAGAATAAGAGAGAGAGTCTGGAATGAAAGAAGAAGAGAGAAGAAAGGTTACGGGTTTTAGGGAGGGAATTCAGGGTAGGAGGCCCTACCTAAGTCCAAGCACAAATTAACACATACAAATATAAATCTAACCCTAGTTTAGGATCTTAAAGTAAAACAAATGTCATACATTTACACACCTTAATCCCGTTTAAGGTCACATTGGTCATCTCACGTCCTCGGAATTAATAATTCCGGGACGGGCTGTGACAAGTACCATATTAAATCCTAAACTAATTTGTTAAACAATTCTGTACGTAAACCCAACTCACCACACAAATTGAGTTATATTTTTTTATTTTATTTTATTTTTTATTAATTTATTATTTTATTAGGATGCAAAAGGATTCAAAGTTGTTACATTAATTTAGGCGAGGGGGAGTGTCCCGTTTGGACCAAAGTTGGTTGAAAAGTCAAAATTCAGATTGCAGCTTTGATTCATGAATTTTAATCGAATAAAAAGAAAAGTAAATGAAGAGAAATGGTTCCTAAACTTTAATTGAATTGTAACTTTAATCCATGAATTAAAATCTATTAAATTTGGTCCTCGAACTTGACAAAATGTGGAGCCTTAGTCCTTCTCCAAACCCAGCTGCCATTATAGCACTGCACTCTCCCAACAACCAAACCAAAGAACGTTTAAAATCTAAATTTGGAACACAATCTCCTTGAATGGTTCACATACAAGTAATAATTCCACATAATTAAACCTCACCCTGAAACCAAACATACTTAAGCACTCAAGATCATCGCTGCATAACACCGACCTTGGTACCGTAACTGATGAAGACCTAGTGTGTAAAGACCTCGTAGCTCCGCTGTGGTACCTTCTTGATAATGGCCCTCATGAGATCAAAGTAGAGGGGCAGCTGTGCAATTGCGAAAAAGGTGACTGGCAGGCAAGTTGCCGCATATAATGCATATGCCACAAATTTCAGTTGATGTTTGAGGACAAAGATATGCCCTGCGCAGAATGAGACTATAATGGAAGCTATAGATGCGAAGAGTGATGTTAGACCTATCAAAAGTTTCCGAGGCAAGTCCAGTGAAAAATCACTTTCTTCGTATCTAGAAGTGAGAATTGAAAGAAAGAAGACCAGGGATGTTACTGAGAAGCAGAGAGCAACGAGTGATGAGATGGTGAAGGCACTGAAGGCTGGCTTGTTCTTAAGAATTGGTTCTCCTGTAGTCTGATCAAGTCCACCTGGTACAGTCGCCGATGTTGCAAATGCAACCGTTGCAATGAGCGCTGCAACAACAGAGCATGACTCCGAGGTTTTGATAAGCCATTTGCTGCCTTCTTTCATAAGATCTCGGTGTGTATGTATGAAGATCTCCTTTGAGGTCTGGCCTTTTTTGTTGTAGCGAGCAAAGAAATGATGAGGCATTGAGCTTTTGACAAACTGTGCAATCAGTTAACATAACAGTACTCTTAGAAGATGTAGCTCAGATACTTAAAAAACTTGCTTGAAGTTTAGCATCAAAGATTAACCAAATGCCGGTAATCTCTATTAATTAATGAAACCCTCTTTGTCAACCAAAAGAGGGTGAAATTACTACTTGTTCTTCTATCACACAAAAAAAATTGATGGACAATAATGTAATTTCACAGGCTCAAATTTTACTTTTTTATATTGAAGTCTAACCTACAGGTGATGTTAAAATACCTCCAATATTTAAAAAAAAAAAAACGAAAAACGAAAACCTCCCACTCCCCCCACGTTCTCTCTCTCTCACCCTCTCTCCTTCTCATTTAAAAAAAAAAATGTGTTCATACACACAAAGTGTGTAGGCAAATGCTATATAATATAATTGAACGAAAATGTTCTGTTTCCATGTACTATTTCAACATAGACTAGTGATTAACATGATTCTTATCTGAATGTGCAGTCTACATTTACAGTTTGACAACATATACATCCATATTGCAATACTACCAAAGTGAAGAGTTGTAAAATACTGTAGTATATATGGGAGATCAATAATAGTAACCTACCTTGTACCACTTGATTTCCCATTGCATTTGCAATGCGGCGCCCGGAATAAGCCAAGGTCGGTACTGTCCACATGTAGCGGCAAGGTGTAATGCGCTGTTACCTTGGTTGTCCAACTGACGCAACAAGCTTTCTTTTAGTAGCCTTCTCTTCTGCAAGAGATTGTAAACATGGGGTTGCCTGTTCTCAACAGCTAAGAGCACAACATTCTTTTGATCGGAATCCACGTCCTGGACAGCCACTGGAAATTTGTCGAGGACTTTTTCTACTATTTCGGTCACTCCCATCTTTGCTGCAATTAATATAGGTGTCTGCCTTTTATCTGCTTCATCATAAGTTACTTTCTTCTTGTCTCTCGAGATCTTGTTGTGCTTCCTATCATTACTGTTGTTGAGCTCAGGCTCGTGATCATGTACATGATCTGGTGATGAGGATGAGGAGGGGGTTTGCTCTAGCAAGGTGGGATTAGGAACTTCAGACTCTTCTTTATGTTTGCTTGGGTGAGTTTCGTTGGGATTTTGGCCGGTATTTTGATACTTGTATAAAGAAGTGCACTGGACGAGTTCATTCATGACCTGATTAGCCCATATATGTCGCTCTTTCTTCTCTTGGATTTTCTTTATCTTCCAAATTCCTGGATTCTCCATTCAAGAAACAAACATTACGATCGACAAAACAAATATGTAATTAAAGGAAGCGTAAGTTTGACACTGACCAATTCCCAGAATGATGAGCAAGGCCTTCATCATAAGCTTCCAAAACAAAACAAACGAGGCATAATTCGGTGGAAACGCCTTCACTCCTGGTTGGTTTGCATCTGCAACAGAAAGGTTATGATCAACTCTGGAGTGCCGTACAATTCATGAAACTCTCTACAAAAGTAGAGCTAAATTCGAGGGTACATTAGTTCAAACACAAATATATCTTTGCATATATGACTGTTCTGTTTCATTCTAAATAATTTTTTGTGGTAAATGTCGGATACAGACGGAATGCTAATCATATATGAGATTCTATGGTTAATTGTAAATGAAAAGTTGCAAAAGGGATATTAGGAGAGTTCAAGAGTTTTGCTCCACATCAAAAGAAATTTTGGTGGTCGAAGGGAGGAGGTATTGTAAAAGGTTAAGGCTAAGTAGGAATGTAAAGCCTTATACAAAATACAACCAATGAAACTATGAGAGGCATAAAATTGAGAAGAAGACGAGTTGGATGTCTATAACTTGCTAGAGCAAGGGAAAGGAAGACAAGAGACTTGAACCAGGTAAGGTGTATCAATGATGAGAATGGAAATGTTTTACCTGCAGAGAATGCGGTTCAAGACATCTGGAGACCTTATTTCCATAATCTTTTTAATGAAGGACACAAAATGATTACTTCTTTGGGGAGTTGAGTAACTCGGAAGGGTATAGAAATTACTCATTCTATAAATTGGAGTTCGTAATTGAAATTTAGGTGTATTTTTGCTCTGTTTTCAAATTCTATCATGTTTTTATTTAAATTTTCATGAATTAATTAAATTCATTTTGCTAGGGTTTAAGATGTAGCCTAGCCATGAATACTCCAAGTTTATAATTATATTAATTTCTTATTTGTTCAGTATTTGTTACTGTTTTTAATGCTTGCAATTAATTGTTCAATAATTCTTTGATTAGAAGAATTAAGTTGAGATCTGAATGAGATATCTAATATATAGCTTCTTGTAACGAATGTCATGTCTTGAATGAGTGCAAAGAATGAACTAACATTCTGTATTCGTTGAGTGGAAAAGAATTGAACTAACATTCTATTTTCTTGAGGATTTTCCATAGTACGTAATTGGTTCTTGGTCTTTCTATATTCGTTGATTGGAAAAGAATTGGTTGTTAGTCAGGAATACTTTTGAAGGAGCCTGTACAGGGATTATCAAATAAATTAGAAAAAATCAACTGTCAACATGTCTAAGTTCATATGCTATAGATTTCGAGTGGGATTGGTTAATTAGGTTAAGTCGGCGTCTTAATAATTTATATACCATGCTTTATTTTCATTCATCTTTCATATTTATTTGCATTTAGTTTCTTTGCATATCTAATTTGTCATCATAATTTTTGTCTTATTTATCATGATAGTAAATTTAAATTAATCAGACTTTTGTGGGAAGAACACTCTACTTATTATTATATTACTTGACAATGTTATGCACTTACAATTATATAATATACATTGTATATAATATATAGACCCTATCTAGGTAAAGAAGTTTACCATCAGTTGATCTTGAACTCGTTGTATCCAATATTTCTTTGGATTCTAACTTGATATCAGAAGATGATGCTCCAGAACTTGCCTCTGCAATTATTGGGATAACTAATCAGATGAAAGTAATTAACTTATTTGTATATTGGCAGAGTCGCTGACGGAAGATTCACAAGGATGGATTGTGTTTGGCAGAAAACGTTTAAAGTGTTTTGGATCGTAGAAAGAGTTTCAAGACAGATGCTTCTTCAGGAAGCACTTTAACAAAATTTGAACTTGTTTCTAATGAAAGCATTTCTAGTGAGCAAAAGTAACTCCTACATAAGTTTTTCCAAAAGAAAAAATAAAATGTAATTCCTACATAAGCAATCCCAAAACGTGCCCTCAAGTAGGATGCTTACCTATTACTGAGCTGCTCATTGGTCGAGGATTCTCTTCATCTTCAGCTGCATTGATACCATTTCTGTTTCTGTTTCCTCCATTAGCTTGAGGGAGTGAGCAGCGCAGTTTATTCCAGTATACGCGCAAAGCTTGGGTACAATTCTTTTCCCCGTGATTTCGCTACAATTTGAGAAACTGAATTAGACCTGTAGTGCAAACGTTCGGTGAAGAGAATTAATGCAACATAAATATTTGACAAGATTCACCCACTTAACACTTTGAACAGACTTCTCAGATGCCGGAAGAAGTTCATGCAAGTTTCGTAGTTTGCCGGATACTTCAAACTGTTTTGTTCTCCTGCCTTGTGCAGACAAGCTTCATGATTATATGCTTCAATTTTGAGATTATCAACGATCAAACCTGACAAATGAAATCGAAAAGTTCGGTTTAAATCTAAGATCATGCAACGATGAACAAAAAGATAATTTACATCTTTAGTTAGAATATCTTACAGCGGTATATAATCTCATCAGCTATTCCAAGGCGAGTACTGCTTTTGAATGCATTAGGCTTTCCGGCCAGAATATGCAGCGGAGATAAACCGTTTTCATTCATAGAGTTAGCGAGTTCCGGGTACAATCGAATTATCTGAAACGCCAAACCTATCAAAACAAAAGTACAGAATGAATGGCATTTTTATTTTTAGGATAGTTAGTTGCGGTCAGTCTGGAGCACAGATGGCTAAAGGGGAGTGTACTTACAGAAGTATTCACCAGAGATAGCAGCATGGAGAATGGTATCACCATTGTTGTCTCTAAGGGAATGGAACTTTTCTTGGCAGTGAATTTGAAGACAAAGGAAAGACTTTATGTTGCCATTATGAGCTGCCAAGAAGAGAGGGGTCTCACCGTCCAGGTTGCGTACGGAGACGAGGTTTTGATCCTTCGTAGCCATGATTTCGCAAAGTTGCACGTAATTAAGCCTGGCAGCCAGATGGAGAGCTGTGTTGCCTTTCTCATTCCCCAAGTTGAATATTTTGGATGCATTTCCTCCGAGGGAAATGATGCTGAGCAACTCGATTGCGATTTCTGTTTGGCCATCTGCAATTGCAATGTGTAGAGCAGTCTCGTTTGATTTGGTTATCTTGGCCTCTTGAGCCTTGGAACTGTTTTTGTAGGCTTCCACCACCTTTCCCCACTGCCCTTTCATGGCGCTTTCGAACAAGCTATCTACTTCCTCCTCTAAGGCCATGGCTTAATTGATGGCTTGTTTCTCTAGTTTTGTAGCTTATTTATACTGCCATGAGATGCAATATCTGATAGCATTGTTGGCGTAAGTTGGATCGATACAATAAGGATCTGAAGCGAGTGGCACATCAAAGAAGTACAATAGTAATATAATATAATATAATAAAGTTCAAATGTAGGTGGTTTACTTCTTATTGTATTCTGAAAACCTCTCAATTAAGGTCTATTGGGACTCTGGGTATTCGGGTGTAAATGGTTAAGTTAGGGACAATATCGGTGCATGTTTTCACTTAGTGCTGGACACTTGCTGAGCGGTTTGAACCATATTTACTTGCAGATCCCGTGACACAGCAATCATATATGGTTTGAAGTGCTGCCAATTGAACCATATTTACTAACATGAATATGAATGTCACGCACGGCATAATTAGTAACTGTGGCGCAAATAGTTTTGTTAGTATATGGAGACTTCATCTAGATGGAATATGATTAAAAATGAGGGATTTGGATTTGTATTTGTAGTGTAAAGTGTTTTATTACACCAAAATAAAACATGACACTATCCATTAAATCATGTCATCACGTTCAATTAATGTCAGTGACTATTGTCATAACTCTACTATTCATAGTTTTAAAAATGAGTAAAAACAACATATATAGTAAAATATGTTTAAGAATTAAGATACTTGTTTCGTCTTTAATTCTTTGCCATTTTTTAACCAAAGTGTACTAAATTTCGGTGTGCAAAAGTAAAAGGTAATTAGTCTCGAGGAAAAACAAGAAAGCTTGATATTTACTGAAAGTTTGTCGGATTACTGCTCCGTCGCCGTCCTATTTAACCTAATTTCTTCTCCTTCAAGTCGTCCTTTTGCTCTCAATCAACCCCTTTAAGTTGCGAACAACCCACACTCCCTTTACTTTTGTTAATCATAATTTAATACAGGCTTTAAACTAGATTAAGAAAATAAAAAGAAAGGTTATCAAAGGTAACTGAGCTTTGGATGTCGCAAATATCATCTAGTTTTCTGTTGGAGAAGTGCCAAATTAGTTATTCTTTGTCCGTCCAACAAGTAATTAGTCGAATTTTGTATACCTAGAGATTTGGCAACTTTGAATCAAAGAGGGGTCAAAAACTGGACGTCAAAAGAGCGCGGTTGTGCTCAAGAGGGGGACAAGACTGTTTATATCCAAGGAAAGAGTCAATAATGTTGTTTGTATCACATTTACCGACCACAAAACTGTGTTTCTCCCAATCTGTCATATATCAACTTCGAGGTTTTAACCAAAGATAACATCATATTGAAGCTGGCAATGAAAGAAAACAATCGTAGCAACTATGGAAAAATCTCGATCTCTATCAACTGTAAAGTGTACTTAATTCCAATTTATCCTCATTAAAAAACATCCTACAACAAATTGAGTAGTTCGTGAAAAGTTTCCTTGCAACAGACTTGTCCTTGTAACCAAATTTTGTAAAATAATTTTGCTAACTTTCTGACGCAATATCCTTCAAGAAACGATAATCTAGAATCCACCAGTTTTTGACGGAAATCCCAAACAATATTTGATTAATTGATTGAAAGATTGAAAGATGATTACAATGATTAACAAACATGATTTATATAAACCATTTACAACCTCTTTGGACAACTCAAAAGGCTTGGGAAATTGTCTATTCTAAAATTGAGAAGGCATTTGACTGTAGCTTAGCTACAGTCAAATGATTAATGATGTGAGAAATAAGTTAACACACAAAATTAAACCCTCTTTTTATCAATTGTAGCAAAGTATGTAAATAGGGATCGTGCTAGACCGGGGATTAGGAGGGATTGCTAAACACTTGAAAACTGACTTAGAAATGTGAAAACAAAGTTTAAAGCACTAGATTAGACTCAAAGAATGCAAAACTCACGTTTAAAATACTAAAACAAACCAAAATTCAAAACAGCAATCAAAAGATTCAAAACTGCCTTAAAAACACTTTCTGGGCAATTTTGAACACAAAGCATCAAATTGGACGAATTTGGGTTTTAACTTGTACCAAAACACTTAAAAACATAAACCAACACACTTTCCAATTAATCTAGGAATTCAAAATAATTGGGGATTTGATTTGGACGAAAATAAACTTAAATGGCAGATTGTAAGAGAAACAGATTGTAATACAAAGTTATGAAGAATCAATGGATGATGGAATGGCTAAGGGGTTCTTCTCCACACATGAAATATATGCAACCTAAATCGATTTCCAGTTATCAATTGAATAAGTTATGAACCTCGACACTCCAAGTTAATTAGGTCCGCTTAAATTAACCTTCAGATTTCCCTAGAATCATTGAATCGGATGAATATGCATCGCAAACAAATTATTCCTAACAAGTTCTCTATATGAACAGCATGATAAAGACACAAGTTAGAATCATTACGTTCTTTGGAAATCATAAGCATTGACAAGGCATTTGTAACTATGGAAAGCATGATACTCTTGCCAGGAATCTACTTAACACGATCGTGACTAGCGACCTTCACTACTTGCGAATATAAATTCATAACGATTAGGTGAAACAAATTTATATCCTAGCACCAAATTCAAACATGCAAATCAAGCGTGCACTCTCAATCAACATGCAAGAATAAGTTCTAAATCCAACGGTTAAGCAAATTGTACTCACAACTTATGCAACGATAACTGGAAGTAATCAACTTATTTCACATATATAATCATGGTTTTGAATACACCCTTAGCCAAAACAAAATTAGCCAATCATACTTAAAGCAAAACAAAGATTACATGAATTAGACATTAAAATCCAAAGAAAGAAAGCACCTAGAATGCTCCAACTTGGCAGCAAGTGCATCCAAGAATTCTCCTTTCCCTTGCTTGCGGCAGATTGGTTTGTGGACAGGTTTTGGGTAGTTTTATGGTGTAGAATGGATGAGGAATGATATAGAAAGGTTTAGGGTGAGTGTGGAGGAGTATTTGATGGTTGGAGGGTGGTGGAAAACTCGGCAAAGAGGGTGGAATAAGGTGGAGTGGCTGTTATGCTTTCTGGGCACTAAAATGGTGTTTTTGGGGTGTTTTGCTGCCTAAGGTGAGTATGGACGAATTTTCTGCATGAATGATGAATATGGGAGGTTCAACCCTTTGCCAAGGGTTGTAAACATGTATATATAGGCCCCAAAAACCCTAGAGAATCAGATTAGGCAGTGGGGGAAATGCACAGCAAGGAGGGTGAATTTGTGGTGTGCAATGGTCCAAGGATGAAAATGGAGCAATGATGCAAAGTATGGAGGGTAAAATGGACTGGTATTTCAGCTAGGGAGCATGAATGATTGTGTTCATTGCATGAAAATGAAAAGGGGAGGTGAAATGTTTCAGAAATTAGTCAAAGGTGTAGCAACATGTGTTGCACACGGCATTGGATCCCAAATGTGGATGATGGAGCATCAATTGGTGCATGGAATGGTTGTGAAAGTTGTGTGAAACCAGATGGGTGAAGGGAACAAGAGGTATGCAGCAATTGAGTGTGATAATTGAGTGTATTGGGGCATGAAATCAGAAATATTTTAGGGGACAAGGATGATTAAGCATGCATGGGAATCCAAAGGGAATGCAATGTGGATTGCACGGCAAGGATGCTCTTGTTCTTTTGTGGCTGAATTCATGATCCTTTGTACACTAATTCTTCACATTCTTAGCCTCTTTAAGTCTTCAATTTCATCCAAACCTTGGTTCCAAATATGTGACATGCATTCCAAGCTCCATTTTGCTCCAAAATACTCCAAAATGCATCTTCTTGCCTACTTTGTCCTTAAAATCTGAAAACACATGAAAATGACTTTAAACATTAAAATAACTAAGGAAACACGACATAAATGCACAAGAACAAGCCAACTAAGTCGCATAAATATGCTCCTATCAATTAACCCTTGGTTTTGCCTTATTTACATCATAGCCACCAAATTTGTCTAGGTTGGAGGGTAATTATTAAAAGTTAAGAGGGTAATTGTGTCCATAGGTTTAGGTTTAGGGTTGCGCCATTGTTGCCTGATTTGGGCTGGTGGGTTTTGGGCTCAAAGTGGGCTGCTTAGTTGGTAGACCAAATTACCCTTTTGCCTGCTTTAATTAAGATCCAACAGATAGAATTTGGGGGCAGATTGGTCAATTTACACTAAGGATGGGGTTCTAGTGTCAGTGGGTTGTGACACGCCCCAACTCCGATATCCCCCAATATCAGGATAAGCACGTGTTGGCAGACACCCAAGGGTGATGAAGCCATTTTAAACATGCATATGAATAAAAAAAAAATGTCAATAGAATATAAAACACCAATGCCGAATCGTGTTCAGAGCATATAACTAACCAAGAAAAACACCAAAGATCTGAACAAAGGAATGAGACCTACACTGAGAAGATTCGAATGCCTCGTTTCCAACTCCTGAGGGGGGCAAAAGCAAAAGGTGAGTGGACCATAATTTATGTTAATACTAATAATATGAAAACCGATTTCTTAGGAACATACTAACCCCCTATTTTGAAAACATATATAATACTACATATAATAAGTTTTTTGAAAACTCTAGCATGCCATGAAATCATTCGTAAAACAAGTATGCGCAAAACAAAGCTCAATAATGGTCTTGTCGTTGCCCAAAGGCAAATCCATAAATCTCATCCATACTGAAATGTCTAAGGGTATCATAGTTGCCTGAAGGCAGTACATGTCCATCACCTAAAGGTGAAGCTGTACGACACTAGGTTACACTAGTGAAGAAACATGGTAGGCCCCATTACCTGAAGGTGAAATTGTACAACTCTGGGTGATGCCAGAGAAGAAACATATACATATAACATCACACACCAACACTAGCCGTGGCTAGTGAAGCTGTCCGACACTGGTTTCGCCAGTGAAGCTGGGGGTATAACATAAGTATCCTCAACTATGTCCTATGGCTATAGACGTCTACATACCCATGTTGTGTGGATGTGCTGTATGATAACCCACCAAATATTTACGAAAAATATATCTCAAAAACTCATGCCAAAACATCAGGGCTCGAAAACTCAT